TCATGTTTCACTGCTCAGAAATAATATTTCAGACATGTACAAGGACATGCTTCCTACTGACAATCGTCTTTTTAGATATCCACATTCCTCCTTTGACAAACCACTGTTACCGTTCATGTTTAAGGAGGTTTTCCACTTACAGATATCCACAACTCAGCTGCAGATATCTGCAAACTGCACTACAGATATCAGCTACTTTCAGTTTGATCTGAATGGTCAGAATTCTAGTTCAAGGTATCTTTAATTCACACCTACAATAAGTTTGAACATAGATAGATAGATAAATAGATGGATGGATGGATGGATGGATGGATGGATGGATGGATGGATAGATAGATAGATAGATAGATAGATAGATAGATGGATGGATGGATGGATGGATGGATGGATGGATGGATGGATGGATAGATAGATAGATAGATAGATAGATAGATAGATAGATAGATAGATAGATAGATAGAGGAGGGCAATAACGCCTGGCAGATGGCAGCAGTTTAAAAAAGGAAGCAAGTGGATGCCTCTCGTCGGCCACAATAGTATCGGCCTTGTTCATAACCCGGTCTTTGTAAACAGAGTTCCCACTGTAGTTCCCAACAGTTTGCTGGCTGTTGTTACTGTCTTTCTTAAAGACATCTTCTGTGCTTCAGAAGCATTTCCAAACCAACAAATAGTGAAAAATCTACAGTCAGTGGGAGGACGAGGCGGCTTGCTTTTCAAACGTACTACGACAGATCTGGGGCTGCATATGACGAACCGTTTTGCTGCCACATCCGAGCAGCCTGAGGCCAGAGTTCAAGTAAACTTTGAACGAACAAACCTCTCGTTCTTCACAAATTCTCTGCCAGTTAGTTCTTTCTTTCATTTCACTTGATGATGGTTTTATCCACCGTAGGAACTGTCATTGTCAACGGTTTATCAGTGCGTCCCATGTCCAGTGGGAAGTCCCCATGGATCATGCACAACAATTTGGACGAGTCAAAATGACACTTCAGAAATCAGAAATCTAGTCAAAGCTGAATTACAGATATCTGTCGTTTTGACTCATCAGAACGGCACTACAGATATCTTGAATACAAACTCTGACACAGTGTAATCACGACTAGTACAATTATATGGTTGATAGTTGTAATGTTAATTCAGAACAATCAAATTCAGCTCGTGTTGTTGCCATAGAAAGATGTGGTTTGTTGTTTAGTTATCTGTCTGGAACATGTAGCCACAGCAGAGTGACTTCTCCAGAGAGTAATATTAGAGTATTTTCTATTCCTATCTAATAATATCGACGTTGTAATTGGCATTCTCTATTAGAACGGATATTAAAGGTGGCTTTCACTAGTGTAGACCATGACTCATCTTCATCAACTTCTGCTAATACAATCACACAATTACCTTCCAGTCCTAAATTAATAAGTTATCAAAGCTGCCGTTTAACAGCACTACTGTTTCATCTCCTGCATCCTCAGGCAGACTGTGCTGTGCTGATCGTGGCAGCCGGTGTGGGCGAATTCGAGGCCGGTATTTCCAAGAACGGACAGACCCGAGAGCACGCCCTCCTGGCCTACACTCTCGGAGTAAAGCAGCTCATCGTGGGCATCAACAAGATGGACTCCACCGAGCCCAACTACAGCCAGAAGCGCTACGAGGAGATCGTGAAGGAAGTGAGCACCTACATCAAGAAGATCGGCTACAACCCGGACACCGTCGCCTTTGTGCCCATTTCAGGCTGGAACGGAGACAACATGCTTGAGCCGAGCCCCAATGTAAGTGGCGCACGTGGAATAGGAATGCAAATGTTTTAAGGATTAATCAGACGTGTGCAGCCATGAATTTGAATACTGATTTGTTTAGGAAGGGAGGATGCAGCTCAAAGACTAACAGCTGTTTCAACTGCTGGTCCAACTCAAATAATCAGACCAGCTAAAAAACCTGGAAAGCCTTTTCTCTGGCAATCACCACAGACATGATTTTACACAAGGTATTTTTTTCTTCAATAGGAACCAAAGTAACCTATAATAGTTAATGCAGTGTCGGGGTCACAGGTACACAAGAAGCCAGAAAACCGGCTAAGTCATGTTAGTTACACAGCAATAAGCAGCTTAAGTTTGCTACCATTGTAAGCCGCTGGTCATATCGCACTTAACTGAGTAGATTTTTATTTATAAGACAAAGACTGTGTTTCTCAGTCACTTCAAAAAGTGACAAAGACTTGCTTTGCTCAACAGTTACTGCAGGCAGATAAGCAGCTACTGCAGAATCGAATCCGTTGTTTTTTTATCTTAGCTTGCAATCTTTTAATTAACTCAACTTCATAAAATGCTGCATTACATTGTTCGTTCTAGATGACATGGTTCAAGGGGTGGAAGATCAATAGGAAGGAAGGCAACGCATCGGGGACTACACTGCTGGAGGCTCTGGACGCCATCCAGCCCCCCACCCGTCCCACAGACAAACCTCTGCGTCTGCCCCTGCAGGATGTCTACAAGATAGGAGGCAAGTAGTGGATAAAATCGGAACACTGAATCTGGTGGCGGTGTGATTGGGACGCCTCTTATCTAACATCAGAGATTTTTCAGTACAGGACTGCTGATTGATGTTCCCTTGACGTCTTTGTCTTTCTCAGGTATCGGAACAGTGCCTGTAGGCCGTGTGGAAACAGGCATCCTAAAACCTGGCATGGTGGTGACGTTCGCCCCCGTCAATGTGACCACTGAGGTGAAGTCTGTGGAGATGCACCACGAGGCTCTGACCGAGGCCCTCCCTGGCGACAACGTGGGCTTTAACGTCAAGAATGTGTCCGTCAAGGACATTCGCCGCGGAAATGTGGCCGGCGACAGCAAGAACGACCCGCCGCAGGAAGCTGCCAACTTCACTGCTCAGGTAGACGTTACAAAAGATCCATTTATAGAAATGAAATATGACTTAACAGATTCGGCTTCGTCTCGTGTCAGGGCTATTTATAGTCCCAGAGCATCAAATTCATGTGAAGAAAAGTGATCTCTGAAGCTTACTTTAATCAGTTAAACTGGGGTATTATATTCTAAGTTTGTCTTAAAAAGGCGAAAGGGAAGGCATCAGAGTCTGACGATCACAACAACTGTGAAACAAGCAGCAGACAGTAAAACAGGAAGTCATTTTCCTATTAATAAGAGCCCATGTTGTCCCGTTGTAGGTGATCATCCTCAACCATCCCGGCCAGATCAGCGCCGGCTACGCTCCTGTGCTGGACTGTCACACTGCTCACATTGCCTGCAAGTTTGCAGAGCTCAAGGAAAAGATTGATCGCCGCTCCGGCAAGAAGCTTGAGGACAACCCCAAAGCCCTCAAATCTGGAGACGCTGCCATTGTAGATATGATTCCTGGCAAGCCCATGTGTGTTGAGAGCTTCTCTGAGTACCCACCACTGGGTAGGTATCGAGGTTTTGTTGAATTTAAGCCGTTTCCATATGCACCTTATCCCTATCGAAAGGCATGGTGAACTGTAAGTCAAGCCGGATGCTGCCATGAGCTAAAATGTCTATCTGGACTCTCGTCTTTGCAGGTCGCTTTGCGGTGCGAGACATGCGTCAGACTGTGGCCGTCGGCGTGATTAAGGGCGTGGAGAAGAAGGTCTCCACCACTGGTAAAATTACCAAGTCCGCCCAGAAGGCCCAGAGGAACAAATGAATGTTGTGCTACGCTGCCGACCCCAAGGTCTCCCAGGGCAGGACATCAGTCATCCAACTCCATCCTACAATTGGCTGCTTCAACTTAATAATTAAAGACTGGTTAATCATCACAATGCATCGCAAAAGCATTCGAAGGAAAGAAAAACATGTAGATCTTTAGTCCTTGAGGCGGCACTCCTGACTCCATTTCAGTGGTTAGATTACCATTACGTACAGTGTAATATCAGAAAAGATAGTTTTAAACGTGCACTGTTGGTTTGGTTCATGGCAATACCTTTCTTTGATATCGAGACATTGAACAATTAGAGATACTGTAATTTATCATCTCTATAGCTCTCTGGAGTGCAGGTCCTGGTCTCTTTACATGATACATGTTGTCCTGCTTTTAGTGTTTGTTTGCAACTACATGGTGCTCTGTAGGAGCCTATGGCAAGAAGCTAACTCTATATTCTTCTGAGTAGTGGATTAGTGGAACATTTGTTGTGTTTAAGCTTTAAAAAGCACTTAAAACGGTCCAAATGCGTCCCTCTAAAGGGACTCAGAGTAGACCACCTGTTGAATCTTAAAGCACTTTGATTGGCGTTTTGCTAACTTTGCACTTGCACTGGAGAAGTTTAAATTGGCATCAGCTACTGCACCTTATTGTAAGACGGCATGAGCCTCTTTGCAACATTAAACATATTTCAACCAACATGTTGTGCTGTTGTCCTTAGTAAGTGGTTTATACGACGCTAAGAAGTGACAGAGCAACAGAGGCCTTGAAAACCAATCCTTGCAATATGCACTTTTATCCACAAGATGGAGCTCTTGGTACAGGAACTAAAACAGCAATTATTCATGATTCTTAAACGAATTGTACAAAGGTTATATGAAGCCATAACGATAATAAACATCAAATCCTGTACATCTAAATCAACATTCAGTTGGCATTATTTCTGCTAGACCACACCATCAGCGAAACCTGCCTACTTATTAATGCAAACGGGTTTGAAGCTCTGCCTCAATCAGAGTGTTTAGGAGTGAAACAAACATGGATGTTAATGATTATGGTTGCACTTTATTTATCTCTACTGTTTGCCATTACATACAATGGAGCAACAAAAGGCAAAATAAACAGAACAATGTCATTCACTTTTAGGTAAAGAAGGGATAAGGGGTGAAAGGTGGCTATCAAGGTTTTTTCTCCTGCAAAACTGTGCCATCTGTCCTCTGTTCTCTCTCATGCTGACTCACTGAAGCCACAAGGGAAGTGGTTTGAATAGTGGCGCGATGTGGGAACAAATCAATACATGACACGTGGAAGTGGGCGTTTCTGTGGGTGTTTACAAAATGCAACAGGCGTTTGTGTCCTGGTTGCCAGACTCCTTCCCGCCTGAGAGAAGCCTGAGCTTGGGAAAGCTTTTCCTGAACCACCACCTGACTTGTGTGTTCATATTTTTTTAACTAACTCTCAGACCCAAGTCAGAAAATCAAGCTTGAAGACAGCCTGCCAAGAAGCGACGGAGCGTGTTCTCATACAATAGCTGGAAATACTTTTGAGTTTCATTTTGATAGAGCAGTTTCATTCCTCTCATTGCATCACCATGACTGGCAGAGGGAGAGGGAGACCAGGCAAGGCGAAAAACCCTGACGCTGAAGGTGCAAAGAGAAAAATCAGACCTGAAGAAATTAAACAAGTACCTCTGGGTAGGTGTCCAGACGACACAAAGAAGAAGGAGACTGAAACCGCAAGGAAACAGAAACCAAAGGAGCAAAAGGCAGCCTACGCTGAGGAGAAGCCATCTGTACAGAATGCCAGAGAAGAAAAAAAACCCAGGACACCTGCAGAGGACACAAAGTCTCCTGCACGAGGCGCAAAAGCCAAAACTTGTGCTGCCAGGATTAAGCCTACAGAACCATCCATAGAGGACACGGCAAAGGATTCTCCAAAGACGAAAAAAGGAAAAAAAGCACGAGGTGGAAAGGCAAAAGCACAAGTACAATTTGCTGAGGAGACAACAGAGACGCAGCTGGAACTTGCACAAGACCAAACAAAGACCGAAAAAACTAGAAGGGCTCCTGAAAAAACCCCAAAAGCTAAAATATGTGCAGCCGAAGCAGATTTGCTAAAGGAATCCACAGAGATGACAACCAAGATGCAGCTGCAGACACCTCAGGGCAAAGCCGCAGTGGACTCTATCCTCAAAACAACTCTGAAAAACTTGAAGATAAAGACGTACGACAGATCAAACGCATCAAAAGTCGTCAATGCAATAACAGATGATATAATCAAGCATTTAAAAGAGAATACACGATGCTTTCAAGGAGTACAACAACCACTACGTACTGGAAGTTACTATGAGAATTTAAAGGTAAGACATTCTAGTCCATGAGGCCTCAATCAATCCTGTGTTGAAGACAAGTCTAGTTGTCAAGATGTGATCCGTAGCGTTGGAAGAAACGTCCCCCCATCTGGTATGATAGAATTATGCCTTTGTATAAATTGCCATGGAGCTTACGGTGTTGTTTTTGTGTACACAGATTTCTAACCCTGATGAATTTGATGTCATGGTGCCCTTTCTGGTCGAGCGTGTGCACATTGAACCGTTTGGAGCTGACGGGGCCTTTTACAGTGTGGAATTAAAACGTGGCAACAACCCTCTGAGAAAATTTCAAAAGAACAGCATCTTATCTGCCAGTGAAATGCTTCAGGAGTTCAGGGAGGAAGTGAAGAAATGTGTAAAAAAATCTAAAGGTAAGTGCAAAAATCAGGACTTGGCAGCATGTACAGTACATTCACATATTTAATGGAGCAGCAATCCGATTGTAAATCAAAGGACTGAATGTAGATGCACTGTGGCTGCATACACTATGGACAACATGTCTGTTTTGCCTTGACTCGCTTTAAATGTGAATATATATCAATGTAGCACCGTTGCCTCGCAGCTAGAAGGTCACTGGTTC